CCTTCTACACTTGGGCTTTTAGTGCATTTTTCTCTGTCTCCCTTAGTCTGTAGTCTTTCCCCTCCCCTTCTTTCGTTATAGTTATGTAGTTATTTTAGAAATGCAAATTAAAAAATCTCCTTCGGGGGGCAAAGAAAAAAGGAAGAAAGTTCTCCTTTAATTATCTTCTTTTATAGCTGCTGTGGCTCACACTACAAGTTGCACATACTCAAAATTTCCTTAGTTCAGCGTACAAACAATAAGTGTTGAAGAGAAAATTAGTAGGTAGATCTGGATTTCTGTAGAGAGGAACCAGGAAGCCAGAGCTGAATAACTAGTGTGAAGGGTGATATATTGAAATCGTGAACATGTCCACAAACTCTGATAATTTCTGATACTGGAGAAAAGATTGCTTCCGTATTTTAAAAAACACACCAAAACACTTGTGTTTTCGTGTTTTTTTTTAAATATGGAAGCAATCTTTTCTCCAGTGTTTTCCCTTATGGTGTCATGACTGCTTCTTCTGCATTGCTTTAATTCAAATGATTAGTCTGCTTTTCATTTCACAGTTACAGATGTAGTTCTGAAAGAATAACAGCTGAGATTTAGTCTGCTCTCAGAACTACAAAAAAAATCTTGCAAGAGATGCTGGTGTGTTGGAAAACTGTCATTACTATAGGGAGCATATTTATGAAACCACCAGTTCTATCTATCTGAAAAGCCATCAGTGTGCTTAAGAGAGATGGTTATAACTGTTATGCATGTTACAATTACAGACATAATATTTTGAAGTTTAATTTTTGAAAAGGAGCTACTTGGGAACTTTATTGTCTATATCTTATACTTTCTCTTTCAAACCATTGCATTAATTGTGTCATTTCAGTAATGAACATTTTAAAACAAATCAGAATATATACTTTGGGGGCAATAGTATATTGTTTGGGGGACACATCATTGCTTACTGTATAGCTGTTAGCATAATCTAATGAGTTGGAACCCAAAACTGGTTCTCAGGCCAACTTGGAAAATGGTTGTATTAGGAGCATAATAACATTTCATTGTCGCCTTCTTTTGCTCTCCCATTTCTTTACAATTATTTTAAGAAGAAGAGAGAGTAAAGCAGACAGATAGGGCTGGGACAAGGTGGAGATAAAGAGAGATCATGGATCAGGGAGAGAAGGAGCAAAATGGATATTAATAGTAAAAAAAAAAAAAGCAGGGGGATTATCCTATATGTTGTTGTTCAGTCACACAGTCGAGTCCGACTCTTCGCGACCCCATGGACCACATCATGCCAGGCCCTCCTGGGATGGTGCTGATTGCTGTCTCCTGTATAATGTCACGAACCTCCGTCCATAGTTCTTTAGGAACTATCAAATCTAGTCCTTTAAACCTATTCTTCACCTCCACTGTATATTCATAAGGGATGTGATCTAGGTCAAACCTGAATGACCTAGTGGTTTTCCCAACTTTCTTCAGTTTAAGTCTGAATTTTGCAATGTGTAGCTCATGATCTGAGCCACAGTCAGCTCCCAATCTTGTTTTTATTGACTGTATAGAGCTTCTCCATCTTTGACTGCAAATGATATAATCAATCTGATTTTGGTGTTGTCCATCTGGTGATGTCCATATATAGAGTTACCTCTTAGGTTGTTGGAAGAGGGTGTTCGCTATGACCAGCATGTTCTCTTGAAAAAACTCTGTTAGCCTTTGCCCTGCTTCATTTTGTTCTCCATGGCCAAACTTGTCCGTTATTCTGGTTACCTTTTGACTTCATGCTTTAGCATTCCAGTCCCCTATGATGATGAGGATATCTTTTTTTTGGTTAGTTCTATGAGGTGTTGTAGGTCTTCATAGAACCAGTCCACTTCAGCCTCTTCTGCATCAGTGGTTGGGGCATAGACTTGGATTACTGTGATGTTGAATGGTTTGCTTTGGATTCCGACTGAGATTGTATCCCATTACTGCCTTTCACACTTTCTTGTTGACTATAAAGGCCATACCATTTTTTTTCTATGGGATTCTTGGCCACGGTAGTAGATACAATGGTCTTCTGAGTTAAATTCTCCCATTCCTGTCCTTTTTAGTTCACTGATTCCTAAGATGTCGATGTTCAGTCTTGCCATCTCATTTTTTACCACGTCAAGCTTACCTTGATTCATAGATCTTATATTCCAGGTTCCTATGCAGTACTGTTCTTTGCAGCATCGGACTTTCCTTTCACCATCAGACACATCCACAACTGAGCGTCCTTTCGGCTTTGACCCAGCCGCTTCACTCTTTCTGGGTTTACTTGTACTTGCCCTCTGCTCTTCCCCAACAGCATATTGGACACCTTCTGACCTGAGGGGCTCATCTTCCGGCGTCATATCTTTTAGCCGTTTGTTACTGTCCATGGGGTTTTCTTGGCAAAGATACTGGAATGGGTTGCCATAGCAACTTGGTATTAAAGGTAACTGCTAGTATGTAAAAGTTAGTACTCATTGTAGCTATGTACACTCTTTGCAACAGTCTCACGAGGATGATCAAATTGTACCAATTTCAGTGCCCTTTGAATGTTTTGATGGTGGGAAGGTCAATAATTTAAATTTATGCAAAAGCCGTGGTAATCACTGTATAATGATAACAAAAGGGAACAGATGAAGAAAAAAGTTTGTCAGGTGAAACACTTATTGTGTAGGAAATGTGCATAAGATTGCTTGCTTATTAATTTCATGCTAAAATGTTACAATATAGACAACTGTGGCTGTTTTTGGCGTATTCCATGGTTGTTGTGGCCTCAGTCCAATTACTGGTTTGTTCCATTGCTGTGAAGACTTTAATTCTACCTATACATTCATAATTTACTTCAACATTTTGTCATTACTTATAGGTTCTTTTATATACAGATTTATATGGTTGAATTGGAGGTTAAAACAACCTTGTACTGGGTATAATTTAAATTTTAATCCATGCACAGTAAAAGTGCAAGTCACTTGCGGAGGCTGATCTTCCCCAGCTTCTTGGGATGCACCCTTCCTTAAAAATATGATGCTGGAAGTCGGGGTGAACCTTGTGGATAAAATGGCTTGTGGTGTGGGAAGCTGCAGGAAGGAGAGGAAAATGAGTCGAAATTGTTCCTCATGCTCTTCCTTGCTCTGCAGAGCCTTTTCCACTAACAAGACAGAGAGAAACATTTGCTGTTTATGAGATCTGGACCATTATGTTTTCTCTATTCAAGTAGATTTTGCCTTTTTTAAAAAAAATGTTGCACCCTGTTGTGCGTACCATATTTGCAAAAGGAAAAAGGGGGGAAAAAACCTAAGAAAAATTCACTTTACAATTAAAATCATTTTGGTATACAAACACATGCCAATCTTTTCCCTCCTCATGCAGCATATGAACAAACACAATGTCATGGATAATTGTCTATGGTTTCTTGATAAAGAAAAGCACACAGGCCAACAATGAATTTTTAAAATACTTGTGAAAACTGTTTTCAATATATGTAAGCAATACGTTAGGAATTCTGAAAACTACTAAATAAATAGCAGGGTAGATAAAAGACTATAACCATGAAATTCTGCATCTTGGAGAAATTTAATTCACCATTCAGCATTGCCAACCATAGAAAACGAGCATCCAACCCTGAGGGGGGTATAGGGAATTTTTACCACTGGACAAAACCTAACCATTTATTCACAAGAATGTATTATAGAATAAAGCAATGCCATGTTTTTAGAAATACAGTTAACCAAACAACCACATGGTAGAAAGTTTTACCATGTGATAAATGTAACATGTGCAGGTGGCTGTTTTCTCCAAATAGGGTTGCCAACCTCCAGGCAAGTCCTGGAGATCTCATACTACTACAATTGATCTGCAGATAATAAAGTTGAGTTCAGCTGCAGAAAATGGCTGCTTTGGAGGGTGGACTCTATGGCAGGGTGGACTCTATGGAGAGGTCTCTCCCCTCTCCAAACCCCACCATCCATAGGGTTCATCCTCAAAATCTCTATGTATTTCCCAACCCAGCGCTGGCATCCTTATCCCCAAATATGTGCTAAGCTGTCATAGGTGCTTATTCTCTGCTGAACTCTCAGAATCACAATGGATTGTGCTGATTTATTGTGTGCTCCATGTGTGCAAAATTTTGAACAATATATATTTTCATATAGATGAGGAGTTAAGCTTATTGTCCAAGTGTGTTTAACTTTTTCTTGTGATGAACATTAATGTTTATAGGCATTATTGAAACAATACTGCTGTGTTACCTTGTTAATGATTAATATCCGTCTTATACAGGCAATATTAATGAAATTAAGTACATTCTGCTTAGAAAATAACTTGTTAATTTTTATTCCAGAAGTGTGTTCTAATTGCCTTCCCTTATGTTTGCTGTACAAAATGAGGCTGTAGTGTCAGATTAAAATATATGCTAGGCCTGAGCACAGTGTCATTAATATAAATCTATACCACATTAGTCAATATTGTCCTAGGTCAGTTGTTCTATGTTATATAAGTATGAGCTATGGCTTTGCCATAATTGCAAGGTATGCTGCTACCTTTAAATGTAGTTTACTCCAAAAAGTCAGCAAATGTAAGCTAACAGTGGTAGCCTTTCCATCTTTTATTCTTGACAGAAGCTCTGTATCTTCTGCATAACAGCCAGAATTCCAGAATATGCAGTTTTGCCTCTCACTGCACCTCCATTTTGGGAAGATCAATGCCTGCTGAATTTCTGTCATGCAGCTGTGCAGAAACAGAGCTTCTGTTATGAAAAAAAAGGTAAGAGACCACATAGCTACTTAAGCAGGTTGGTCTCAGATTTACCTCAGTTGGAGGCCAGTTGTCTTTTTGAGTTAATTTTGAAGTGCCTTATTATGTATTTGTATTGCACTGCTAATATTAATATTCATTAATATATGAGTGCATAATTACTCTTGCACCATTGCATAACTAAAAATGTTAAATGTTATTCACATTCTGTATGATGTTCTTACAAACATAAATGTAATGGAAAGAATTTTTGTTAATAACAGGCCAATGCACAACTAGTTCGAGAAGTTGATGTAGAGAAAGTGACCTCATTTGAGAACCCCTATGTAGAGGCAATAAAGGCTCTATGGAAAGATCCTGGAATACAGGAATGCTATGACCGACGACGGGAGTATCAGTTGTCAGATTCTACTAAATAGTAAGTATGAATATAAGTATGTATGAGACAGTGTGATGGGCTGCCAGAGGAAGTGGGCCTGACAGAGCTGAAGCGGGGGGGGGGAGTTAGGAGGACCTGAACTAGAGGTTAGATTGACGGCATTTGAATTATCCAACCTCTGCATGTTTATCTCCTTTCAGTTTCTTCCTTTTTAAAAATTGAATTACGTTGTTGATCATTTTTGAGATGATTTTTGCCAGTTGACAATAACACAATGAATGTAATTACAGATAGTCTTGGCCTTCTTATATGGTGTAATGTAGATTTTCAAAAATCGGCTTCTGCTTCAGTACAAGATAGTATATGTGTTGTGGCTCAGGAGCCTGTGCTCCTTGTACCTGGTTTCTCATTTTGCTCAAGTCCTGGTGTGTCTGTTCACAGACTAGTGTTGTTTCCTTGGAAAATTTTGGGATTTTTATTGTGTTAATATGTATTGTTATTTTAACCTATTATTTTAAATTTGTTATTATTTTATCTTTGGGCTCTTGAAAATAGTGTGTGGGGGATACAGGAACTGCCCCCCCCCCCAATGCTGTAGACCTGAGGAGGCTTGGACCCTTGTGGCATTTATAAACTGAGGGAATTCCGGAGGTGTAAAATGGCAGTGGTGTCCCCAGGATGCTGTTTCATCTAGTTTGGCCCTCATAATATAAGCTGCCATTGTTCATATGAGTAAGAGTGTTTACTTTGTCAATGTAATAAGTATTACATTAAGTGTTTTTTTATTATTAAAATAAGTCTTCTAATAAAAAGTAATAATATTTCTCTAGTAATAAGGAACATTAGACAGGATATTGGGAGCATAAGTCACATTGATTCTTGTTAGCTAAAACAGAGTTTATAGATTACACATACAGAAAGTGGTGGTGGCAGAGAGCAAATTCTCTCAAATAGAATTGCAGCAGGGCCTGCATCACCCTCACCGCCCCCCCCATCCCCATTGCTGGCTTTCCACAGCTCAGTTTCATTTTGTTTTCAGTTTTTCCTGTGTGCCTCTTTATAGTACATATGAGGACAAAAACAAAATCAATAAGGGACAGGGAAGGACAAATATAATAGATTTTCTCAAAATTCTACATTATTATCCCTGAGTATATTTACTAGTGAGGTGGCTAGAGGGAGTTTGTGATGTGAAATGAATGCAGTTACTTATAAGTGAGATTTTGTAGAAAGAATAGTATTATTTTTAACATAACTGGTTCCCAATGTGGAATCTTTTTGGACCCTCTGGCAATAACTAGCTATCAGGCAGGTCTGCATATTGCCCTGTCAACAGGGCAGGACACCAAAGGTGAGCATCT